TCATGACATTCGCCGCCATTTTCTTTTTTTTTTTTCTGAGAAAGGTACTTTTTATCAAAAAAAAAAAAGTGTGAGAGTTTGTTTTCTTGTGTTTAATTTGCTTGAGAATGAAAACATAAGCCTACTAAGGAGGGCTTATATAGCCAAAACTTCATGTATCTCAATGTGACATATACAATATTGACCACCGGTTCTTTCTTTTTTTATTTATTTAGTCATAGTAACAAAGAAAAACAATTTAATAAATAAATAAAAGAGCATAAATATATAACATAGACCAATTCTGTAATACATTATTTTCTCTAGATGTTTCATCGATGAAATTACCAAAAAAAAAAGATGTTTCATCGATGACTATATATGGTAAATGAGCTTATACCAAAGTAAACATTTAATCTCATAGACCATTAACTACCTTTTCGATCCCTACAATTTGTTCACGCACCATATATAGCTTTTAAGCCCGGCCCATATATGTGTCTATGCACACGAGTTTGGTTTTTGAGTTTTTCTTAATTGCTTATATAATCTTTGAAATCATTTTCAAAGTAAAATTTATTTAATGAAATCCAAAAATTAACCCAAAAAAATACCATAGACATCCAAGTTCCTTTGAGGAAAAAAAAAAAACAAAAGACATCCAAGTTCCAACATGTAAAAATAGTTATTTGTAAATTTAATTTTTGGTTTTGCAAATAGATATAAAATTAATTAAAGTGATCCAAGCCACATCATCCCTACAACCGAAGCAAAGCTTGCAGTTAAGTTTTGCGACAAAAGCCTAATTCATAAATCCACTAGATAAGGAGTCCTTTACATGGCGCGGGTTTGCAAGGTAACTATAATGTTAAATCTTTATATTATTATACAAGCTAGTAGTACACTAACTCAACTAAAGTTATAATAAATCTCAAACTAGTACCTTTTTTTTTGGGTTGAAAGTTAAATTTACTAGTATTTTTATTCGATAGACATCAAGCTTGAAAAACAAGAAACCGCTGTTCCCTGATGATGAACTCTGTAATCACGTACGAAACATAAATCATAAGATCTCAATTCAGGATCATATATCACAAGATTGGGATTAGACGCAACCGCATCATATAGCATAAGTGATTTCTTCTTTCCCAAAATCGCGATAGGAATGACACATGGAATGATTTCAGGAATGAAACCAAATGTTAGATCTTTCGCAAACCAATTAGCAGCAGTTTCTAGATTTAACGAATATATTTTCTCCCAAGTCATGTCTGAATTAATTAATGACCATATTTCTTGCATTGGCCACTCTTTCTGCGATACGCATAGACGGTTGTTTAGGTTGCACATGATGATTTTCTTAGAAACTTGTTGGACAAACGGAGTTTTTGAGATTATGTGAAATTTCTCTGTCTGAATATCGAAAGCTAATACTCTTGTTTCTGCAATATCCTCATCAGTGAACCAGTGAAGTGATCCATCTAAATATACTGGTTTTTGTAATTCAAGAATACGGATAGGAGCAGCAATCACATACCTCCACTTGTTGGTGCTAAAATCAAAAACTTCACAGGTTGTAGCGTTTTCTAGACCTAATTCATATGAATTATACAACCAAACCAGTTTGTATGTGCCTGTGAATTTGTCTTTGCCAAATCCTAGATTCCAAAGTGAGATATATTTTTCTCCCTTCCAGCTATCTCGATTCCTCATGTCGAGAACATCTACTTGAAACCTCGCTTGTGGAACACTTCTAGACCATCTAGTTATCGGATTGACTACATTTATAAGATTGTAGTGATTAAAATAGCATATCATACCATCACAACTTCCAGAAATTGAAATGGGGTAATAAAGCAAAGTCTTGTTTCTCTCCAAATAAATCGGCTTACGCAAAGGACAAAGATTAGGAAGTTTGATCACATCTGTCGAACCCAACGTAAACATTCTTGTTACATTTTCTTCTTTCTCGCGTTTAGAAATTTCATCAAATTCTATGGGATTGATGATAAGAATATCTGGATCTTGTGACTCCCGACATAGAAGATGTTTTTGTTTAAAATATCGAGATTCGATTATAGATTTCCATTGTGGTGATACAGATTTGAATCTTACCAGTGACTTCACCGGAAGTGTATGGAGAATATGTTCAACTAGGTCACGGGATAATTCCATACTATAATCGATGTTTTTTTGTTGATGATGAGTTTAGGGTTAAGTTGATGATATTTCACTCATGTCCTTTATTTATATATAAGAGAACACATATTGATTTGTCTTATCCTTTAAGCCTTAAAGGGAACTAAATCTCTAATGAGATTATGTTGATTAATTTTAATCTAGGAAAATAATGTTATTGTGACATTATTAGTTAGATATATATATTTTTTCTTCTATAAAGTACTTTTAGATATGTCTTAAGAAATTAGTTTATCAATCTACAAGACATGTGTAGTTTTTAAATATTTTTTAAGGAGCTGAAGACTAAACAAATATGATATTACATTTCATGTATAACTATAGTTTGACATAGATATGATAGGTTGATTAGATTTGATTCTGTCAATGACTATGATGAAAAAAAAAAATTTTAATTTTGAAAGAACTGATTATTTAATTTTTCAATTTACACTTTTCAGATTTATAGCTTTTCATGTAGAGCACACCTATATAATTATCCTTAATATATGATTATCTTTAATTATAATAATAAGATTAAAAGGAAGTTTTATGCATTGTGTCTTTATATCTCTCTTCTATCAATGTATGGTATACATATATATTTAATTTAATTTTAATTACATATATATTTATCTTAGATTAGAAAACTTATGTATATTTTTGTAACAATATTCTTATGAAAATCTAATTCCATTCTTCAACTAATGAATTAGCTTTGGGCCTGTTTAGGAGATAGATTCTCTTAGCATGGGCCCTGACCCAAAATTTGTGTGTTTCTTTTCAAATGTATGAATATTTTTAGTTTCATTATGTGAAAATTTTAGCTTACAGTATTTATAATTTTCAAAATAGAGAAGATTGTCGAAGGTGGGGGTAAATTATTTGGGCACAACAAAGATTGACATTGGCTCCCGTCAGGGCCGCAAGAATCATCATCTAGAAGGAATGGCATAGAGCTTTCTGTTACAAGAGAAAGTTTGCTACGAAGAAGAAAACGGAATCTTGTATATTTCTCTTAATTAACCTGGACACATTACATAATTCATTTATAGCAAGACATTAATCCGGTTTACTCTGGTTTACAGACTCAATCATGGTTTAACATAAACCATACTCTAATAGCCTCCCTCAAGATGGCAAGTATATAGATTGAAGTGCCATCTTGCCAACAAGAGCCTTAAAGTGAGCTGGAAACAGTGGCTTGGTGAACACGTCTGCAATTTGTTGATCTGTCTTGACATGGAGAGTTTTAATCAGTCCACTGATAACTTTGTCTCTAACAATGTGGCAATCCAGTTCCACATGTTTTGTGCGTTCATGAAAGACAGCATTATTAGCAATATGTATTGCTGCTGTTGAATCACAAAAGAATGGCACTGACTTGGTTTGAGGTGCCCTGAGAAGATTAACAAGCCAAGCTACCTCTCTTACTGCAAACTCCATTGCTCTATACTCTGACTCTGCAGAAGAATGCGATGCAGTTGGTTGTTTCTTTGACTTCCAGGAGATCAATGATGTAAGAACTTTCTTCCATGTCCGCAAGAAAAGGGTGATTGAAGAACTCTTCAAATGTTAGACGCTCCACTATGAAAGACAAGATATTCAAAAATGGCTTGTAATATAATTGCATTGGATACACATAGAGTAGGTCACCATAAGCTCGTTGGTGTAGGATAGAGCTTAGTGTAAACCGCAATTCAAATGACAGCTCCAAGCTCTGGAAAAATCAGTAACTCCCGTTGATATGAGTTAGTCGTCGGAAAGTCAAGGACAGTCTTAGACTGAAACGGGAACAGTGACAGTTTCTTCTATTTTCAAATATGAACATGGCACATACTAGAAAATGTTTGAATTGCCAATTTAACGTGCCCACAACTCTATATAGTATATACCTTTACATTTTTTAGACCAACACACAAGACATGCCAATAGAAGTTATGTTAGTTGAATTTGAGTATGATTTATGTGAATTCAGGTAATCAATTTCTAGGAATTATGGTCGTTTTTTTTAAATGAGACTTTTCTGATCGTTGTTTGTCAAATCACAAATGATTATTGATATGTTAGTTTAAGGTTCCTGGAATTATGTGTTTGGCATGGAAGCTCTATAGATACGAATCCCAAAAAAAAAAATTGTAAAATTTCAGCTTAAACCAAAAAGATTTCACTGTTCATATAATCTGTTTAACTTTCGTAAAAATAATTTACATAAAACAAAATTAAAGATTCCACTGTCCGATTTTTCTAAACAATGAAGACTACATACATATACTGAATCTTCAAACATGTCACTGTGGCGTATAAATCCAATAAATTTCTAAACATTTCAATATACCAAACTAAATACTTCTACTTAATTATCAAAGTCTTCAAAACAAGGCTAAATTACCAAAACTGATATGATCTTAGTTATGTGCATGCATTTCTTTCTCATGTTTGAATCTGGTCAAGACCGTGTGAAATATGTCACATCGGTTGAACGGTAAAACCAATTTGAATTCAAGTTCAACTGACCGAGTCAATCCATTTATATCCTTAGACAAAGATATAGCTTTGTTTTTTTATTAACGACAAAGATATAGCTATCTATATTTATTAGTATAAGATTTGTCATAGTTGGCATCAAAGAAAGCAAGCATCATACGGAATGTACTTCTCAACTTTGAATATAGAAACATATTAATAGATAAAGTTTTACCCGTAATGAAACCTTTGAAGTTTGAATTTAGAAACATATGCATAATAAAAGTCTTAAGTCAATACAAACTTGACACGTTATTTAATTGTCTGCAGCCAAACCTCGGGAAGAAACTATATATATATATACACAATCGAGGACAACCAAACGTAACGATATTGCATAAGATGGAGACTTGGATAGTAATTATCATTGCTATTGCTTCTTCTGTTGGTGTTTTGATATTTCTCGCGGCCTTGACTGGAGCCGGGGGCAAAGGTGGGGGTGGTGATAACGGCGGAGGAGGAGGAGGAGGCGGAGGAGGAGAAGGAGGTGATGATGGAGGAGGAGAGGATGGTGGAGGTGGAGATGTGGAAATGGGTGATGGAGGAAACGGAGTTGGCTCTGGTGGTGATGGAGGTGGCGTTGGCGGTGACGGAGGTGGTGGGGGTCATGGAGGGTTTTGGTCCTTTTGGAGTGGTGGTGGGGGAGGGGGAGGGGATGGGGGTGGAGGCGGCTGGGGCGGGGGCGGCTTTGGTGGTGATGGAGGTGGTGGAGGTTTTGGAGGCGGCGGTGGTGGTGGGGATGGAGGTGGAGGTGGAGGCGGCGGGGGCGGAGGTGGAGGAGGAGGTTGCTGAGCTTCGGTGTTTCATATCATTTAGAAATAGTTCATCTTTGAAACATTCCTAGGTAATTTATTTTATGTGAAAATTCTTAGTTTTCTGAAGCATTTTGAATTTTAGTAGTCTAAATATTATTTGTTGATTATTTATTGTATATAATTTATAGTTCTTGTGTGAAGTTGGTTTGGTATCCTATTTCACAATAGCGCTATATATGTGACCAATTCACCAATATTATTATCCATCTTAATATATCATGGTAATAGCATAATACCAATGATGTAGTTTGGATGAAAGTTTTAAAGCCAAATTAGAACATCGATGCAATTTATTGGTTACTTTGACCTAAAAGAAATTCACATAGTTTATGCATACGTGACATCTTACTTAACGATGAGACTAAGTCACAAATTGAACAACAAAGAATAATAAATCCAAATATGAAAAGAGTTACTGTTAGAAAAGTTTGAGTTCTTGGACTCTTTTGCTATTATCTGATCCTATCCATGATAATGACTGCGCAAGACATGAGTCACAGAACTCCGTCAAGTATTTCCTATTAAAAGAGGAGTAATTATTTTGATTAGTTTGGAATTTGTATTTGCTTATATATAGTTGCATCCACGATGGTTTTATGTTCCATGACAAAAATAAAAAGAATAGTTGAAAGAATTAATTTTTTACATTTCGTCCAAAAAATATTGATTAGGTTTGGAGTTTGGACAGAGATATCAGATCTGATTTAACATATACTGTTAATGTTTAACAATATATTGCACTTTGGAAATATTTCTATATAGTGGATGGAATTTAAGCAACTAGATACATCACAAGTTTTAAATTAAATAGTTTGTTTCCGTGCCAAAATTTTGGGGAGGTTACGTTATAGACATACTAATATATTTGTATGTATGTAACACTTACAAAGATGAACAAAATTGGAGTAATTTCGTCTTCCATATATACTACTAATATGTCATTACACAATTAATAGAAAACCAAATTTACCACTAATATTGATTATTACCAAACTCACCATTGTAATTAAGTAGTTTTTTTTTTTGGGTATGGATTCATCAACTCTTGTAAGTTGTAAGTATACTTCAGCACCGAAATTAGAAGAAAGAAAACAAAAAGTCACGACATGAGATTTGTAATGGGAAACCCAAACACTGCACTAGAAACAACTCCCAATGTTAGCTTCGTTGCAATCGTAAACATTTTCCAGCCCTTACTCGGAGTCGGGTTTTGACCCGCCCCAGCCACTGGTACCTGACCCGGATTCATATTAAACCCGTTCATGTAATTGAAATTATAGTAATTATAGGGATGATGATTAAAATAAGGTTGTTGTTGACCCATTGGCCCATAAGCATACGGGTAACCAAAATGCGGTTGTTGCCACTGCATGGGCGACGACGGTTGTCCACCTTGTGGCTTGAGCCCTCTGCTCGTAGTACCCGACGCATCGGTCTGGTTAGAAGGTGACGTGTTGCACACGGCTAAGATACACTCCATATGAATATCGAACCTACATAGCTCACACCTATACCTCCAAGATTGGCACGGGCCGTGACAAACCATACACGTGCTAGCTCCCGCGAGGCGAAACTCCAAGTGATGGGCAGGGTGAAGCACGTGCCTCACGTGCTGAGGCAGCTGCGTGCAGAGAGGATGCACGTCAAACTCACATATCTTGCATCTGTAGAACAACCCTTCGACCGACTCGTCGCATATGTCACACGCGCGGTCGTTTTGGCGTGTGGACTGTTGTTTCCGGACAACGAGGTTGAGCTCATGTTGGGGATGAATGAAGGTTGGGAGGGTAAGGGGACATGTGGCACAGTATTCATGGAGATCATAGTTGCACGGTTCGCATCGATATGTCTTGCCCGAGCCATAGGTTTTGCAGCCGTCGCAGATGAAATCGCCAATGCTGTCAAACTCCGTTAAAGGATGAATATGCGTGAAATGCTGAACGGTGTGCCGTTTTGGTGTCCGTGGAGCCATCTTTACCGTTCTTGATTGAGAGAGAGAGACAGAGAGTTGTGTTTGGTGTTGGAAATATAATGACAAATTAATAAAAAGTATAGTGACATTTCTTCCGAATATCAAAATGAGAGTTGTATATGTTTACTATTGTGACAGAGTATCACACCATTATTAGTTGACTTTCGACGAATTGACTGACTTATTACTTATTAGAGGTGGAAAAGTCTCTATCCTTATTATGTTTAATGTTCATTTATAATCATTCATATATAGGTTGGTTAAAATAACACACAGTAACGTATTATATATCGTGTACATATACGCTTAGGGATATGTACTAATGTTTTAAATTTAAGTAGAATTGGTTCTACCGGTTTTAAATTGTTATTAGAGTTACCGATTTTTTTTTTGTTTTTTACATATTCTTATCTTATCTATATGGTTTATTCTAAATCAAGAAACACTAATAATAAACAAAAGTACATTTTGATCAAGGTTATTATGAAGAAAATAATTAGTCTTTTAACATTTGTTCTATAACTAGTTTTAGACTGAAAATTTACAATATCTTACATACATGTCAAGCATGATAATGCTTTGATAGTTTGATTGAAGTTTGGCTAGTTGTATTTAACAATGACAACATGGTTTAATATACAATGTTGTCTGGAATAATATATGATATCACGATTCTCCGTCTTAATTGCTTGGAAGAACTTTAATCTTTGAACAAAAAAAAAAAAAGAACTTTCATCTTTGGTGTTTAAAAAAAAATCTTGATCGAGTAATTTGTGTCCATTTTTTAAAATCCAGACTATAATATATATAAATTTTCCTTGATGATTATTTTTTCAGGAAGATATAAGATAAAAAAATAATGAGCAAAGGAATAGAGAAGTTGAAGAAACAGACGAACTAGAAAGAGATAGAGAGGGAGAAATGCTATACGTGTATATAATCGTTTACATATCGCTATTTTCTTCTGTAGTTTTACCAATTTCACAAAAGAAAATAATAGTATATAATACTCTGCAAGAGTTATTTACTCCAGAAAAACCATGGATCGGAACTCAGTCCTTGATGATCATTTTTTTTTAAAAAAAAAGAGAAACAATGGCTCAAAAAAGAGGCCACAATGGCTGATAGGGTCAGTCAACTAGCCGATGTCAACGAAACTAGCCGATGTTAAAGTTATTATTCGTCAAAGGACAAGTGAACAATAATTTATATATTTGTAACCACAAGTGAACAAAGTTATTATTATTTGAAATTGTCTAACAAACTTTTATTTATTTTGTAACCACAACTGAACGTACATTATTATTTGTTTGGCAAAAGAAGATTAGAATGGTCAAAAGTCAAAACAACAGTTTCTTTTTATACCACCATTCATTCTCTCAAATCCTAACCACTCTCAAGGAAAAAAAAAAAACAAACAACGAGATGTGTTCGTCCAGTGTAGTCCAACATTTTACCCATATCCATCCACTAACGAAGGTTGACGAATATGGCGAGTTCATATGCGGTGGCTGTAAAACCTACGGCTTTGGGAAGACCTATCGATGTGCCCCGTGCGACTATGATCTCCACGAACATTGTGCCATGTGTCCCTTTACCCTCATAAGCTTTATGCATCCACAACATGAGCTCCAGCTATTTTTTAATGGACCAGAACATATCTGCAACATCTGCCACAGATTGGTCGAGGGGATTTATTACCACTGCGAGACTTGTGGTTTCGATGTCCATCCACTCTGCACACAACATAATCAGCACGTGAGCTATGTGCCTCACCCGGATCATCTCTTAGAGCTGAGTCAGTGTGGAGCGAGCAACACGTGCATGGTTTGCCGAGGCGCAATCTTGTCCTGGCGGTACAAGTGCGGTCCATGCATGCTAGATGTTCACGTGGAATGCGTTAATTCGTCTGCACCAGCTACTACAGAATCGCAAATGGATTTGAGCACTTCTCAGTATCTTCAGCCTTATAATGACGAATGCGCAGGCATACACAATGATGAACATACAAATAAAGGTCAAGTGTCGGGTCCGAGTAAAAGAAGAAGAGTGTTTAGATTTTTGAAGGATTTAACGGTGGAGGTTGTCAGCAGTGTCATCACAGAAATCCAGGCCGAACTCGGCCTTTAGCGCCTTGCTTTGAAATGGCAGGTCTTTAATGTTATGCCATTATGTGTTTTTTTTTTTTTCTCTATTGTTTATGTTTGCTTTTGTTCTCTATCAATACAATTAATTTACAAAATGTTACTAGGTGAGCAAAACAACCCCAACCGAACTGACTCGAACCAAAACCAAATTCATCAATCAGAAAAAAACAATTCATCAATCCTCTGTTTATCCTCAAAAATCTTGGATAGCATGCATCGGATATGGACCAATAATAAACATCAAAATGTTGTTTGATCATGTCGTCATCTATAGCAAAAGGAACACGATTTAGTCGTTGCAACATGTCGATGTTGTTGTTGATCGCTGATGACTACAAAGTAAACATGATTTAGCAATCAACAAAATGAACATAATCGCACAATGATAACTGTTATATAGTATCACCACTTTTGAAATGCATTGTGTACCATGCATCTAACAAAAATGGACTCCTGCACCCTTGTTACGTCAATCAAGTCTGGAAACAAGACCTCGAACTCTACAGAATCAATCATTCAAGATATTTGTTCTGTCCTATGAATTTGTTCCTAAGAGCAGCCAATGTATTAGCCGGTTCTCTTTAGTTCTTAAACTTTTCACTTGCTCTAAATTGGCTTGTGATTTCAAATGTGGATTTTTATGTTTGATTTTAATTCTAAATATATATATATATATATATATATCTCTAATAGAAATTCATTGAAAAAAACATAAAATATGAAGTTGTGTTACTAATTCTAAGAATCAAAACCGTCCATCTAGACCTCTAATATATATAAGCCTCATTATATATGATCCGTTATTTGGCCATTTACTTTGTCTCGATCAACTTATGAATATATTGATAGTCAGCCAATTGTTCCTTTTTCTTGCTGGCTTTAGACTTTTGGCGTCAACAATGACTCCTCCAACAGGCAGCAAAATTTTAATTCGAAATTGAGTGCAACTAATGGTGGGAAAAAATAATAATAATCGTAAGACTTGTTGTTAATTACTCCGAAAAAACCCTTGAACCCAAGCTTTGATCATTAAAAAATAGAGCAGTGGCTCAAAAAAGAAGTCACATTGACCAGTCAACTAGCCTATGTCAACTTTACTGCTCTACCACATTCTAGTAGTTTCTAGTTTCTGATGAATGAGTTAAAGTTATTATTCGTAGAGCACAAGTAAACAAAAGTTTATACTTTTGTAACCACAAGTGAACAAAACTTATTATTTATCTGAAATGGTCTAACAAAATTTTATATTTTGTAACGAAAACTAATCAAAAGTTCTTGGTTGTTTCCCAAGCAATTCCCCAAACAATTCTTGGGAATGGTCTATAAAATTCTCTAAACCCTAACTGTTTTCAAGAAAACCAACAAAACAACCGATATGTCTTCGTCGAGGCCAGAACAGCAAGTAGTACAACATTTTACCCATATCCATCGATTAACAAAGGTTGACGGATATGGTGAGTTCACATGCGGTGGCTGCAAAACCTACGGCTTTGGAAAGACCTACCGTTGCACCCACTGCGACTACAATCTTCACGATCATTGCGCCACGTGCCCCCCTACCCTCTCCAGCTTTATGCATCCACAGCACAAGCTCCGGCTAGTCTTTAGGGGACCAGAACAGGCGCACCAAAACAGACGTATGTGCGACATCTGCGACGAATCAGCCGAGGGACTCTATTACCAGTGTGAGCCTTGCGGCTTCGACGTTCACCCACTCTGCACGCAGCTGCCTCAGCGCGTGAGACACGTGCCTCACCCGGCTCATCTCTTAGAGCTGAGTCATTGGGGAGCGAGCAACACGTGCATGGTTTGTCGCGGTGAGATCAAGTCTTGGCGGTACAAGTGCGGTTCATGCAGGGTAGATGTTCACATGGAATGCGTTGATTCATCTGCTTCGGTAGCAGCAACGGGGATTCAGGAAAGGGGTTTTGGACAGCAATTTGAGTTTTCTCAATATCACCAGCCTTATTACAATTACGGATACAATTACGGATATATAAATCAAGGTCAGGTTCAAGAGTCGGGTCCGAGTACAGGGAGAAGGATGTATAAGGTTTTGATGGCTCTGACGCTTGGGGTTGCTTGCAATATCATCGCTGGGCCGGCCGCTCAGGTCCTTATGGGAGGCTTTTGAAATGGCACGTCTCCAACGTCACGCCATTATATGTCTTTTTCTCTAAATAATGTTTATGTTTGCTTTCTTTCTTTGTTTCGTACAATAATTTACAAAATGTACGTGTTGCCATTTTCAATATACACAATATACTATGATAACTTGCATCCAAAGTTCGTAGTAGTTAAATAAGCGTCAAGGGACATCAATGTCTTCTCTACATAGAATATTGAAAACGTACGTAGGAGTACCACAGGAGAGAGTTTATATGAGTAAATGTGCCTCTCCGTAAGAAACTAGTTGCATCACTAATAAATTGATGACAATTCGGTGATTGATCTGGCACATCCAATGACAAGTCTCATATCTCATCCGTCTCAGAGATCTTCAAGAGTCTCACAAAGACTCGTCTCATGAACAAATGACATGCCTCTCACCAACCTACCATGTAGCATTTAAACACGCATCTTCCATTTTAGATAACCCGAGCCCATGAGCAAAACAAACAGTTTCAACCTACCTGTGGGCATGACTGCGACGGCCCGAAGTTTTTTTTTCTATGAATAAAAAGCCCATATTTGTTTCAAAAAATTAAATATTACCCAAATTTCGATCTACAAGGCCAAATTTAGGTTTTTATAAAAAACATTTTTTATAAAAAGTCCAAATTTTGAAAATAATTTGTTCTTATACACACCAAAAACTATATTAAAAAGTAGTAAAATAATTTTTTTTGGTGATAAACGCCGATTTTGTTTTTGTCCAAAGGCCTTCATTTTCTTCAGGCCGGGACTGGACCTATGGCAACTGCAATGTGTAGAAAATCACTTGCCTGTTCAATCTCAGAAAACTTGGATAACATGTCATCGGATATGGACCAATTGAAAACAACAAAACTCCGTTGATCCTCTTGTGTATATGAGTTCTCTTTGGAAGATCACTTTGACCCATTTGGAGACCTCAGCGTAGTGCAACTTGTGCAGGAGTTTTACTTAATTCCAAATTGAGTGCAACTAACGGTGGAAAAAAAATAATAGAACAATCCTAAATCTTTTTTTTGGGTCAAAATAATCGTAAACTTTTAATTACTCGGAAAAAAACCTTGAACCCAATCTTTGATCATTAAAAAAGAAGTCAACTAAACTGCTCTACCACATTGTACTAGTTTGTGACGACCGAGTTAAAGTTATTATTCGTAGGAGCACAAGTGACCAAAAGTTTATATTTTTGTAACCACAAGTGAACAAAACTTATTGTTTATTTGAAATGGTCTAACGAAACTTTATATTTTGTAACCACAACTATCAAAAATTTCTTAATTATCTCCCAAACAATGCTTGGGAATGGTCTATAAAATTCTCTAAATTCTAAACTTTCTCAAGAAAGAAAAAAACAACCAAGATGTCTTCGTCCAGGCCAGAACAGCAAGTAGTCCAACATTTTACTCATATCCATCCATTAACGAAAGTTGACGGATATGGCGAGTTCACATGCGGTGGTTGTAAAACCTACGGCTTTGGGAAGACCTACCGTTGCACCTGGTGCGACTACAATCTTCACGATCATTGTGCCACATGTCCTTCTACCCTCGTCAGCTTTATGCATCCACAGCACGAGCTCCGGCTAGTCTTTAGAGAACCAGAGCATACGCAGCAGAACAAACGTATGTGCGACATATGCGATGAATCAGCCGAGGGGCTCTATTACCAATGTGAGCCTTGTGGCTTTGATGTTCACCCACTGTGCACGCAGCTGCCTCAGCACGTAAGGCACGTGCCTCACCCGGCCCATCCCTTAGAGCTGAGTCAGTGGGGAGCTAGCAGCATCTGTATGGTTTGTCGCGGTGCAATCCGGTCTTGGAGGTACAAGTGTGGTCCATGCGGGTTAGATGTTCACATGGAATGCGTTAATTCATCTGCATCCGTAGCAGCAACGGAAATTCAGCAAAGGTGTTTTGGGCCACCACAGCCGCAATATTACCATTCTCAGTATTATTACCACCAGCCTTATTACAATCATGGATATACAAATCAAGGCCAGGTTCACGGATATACAAATCAAGGTCAGGTTCAAGAGTCGGGTACGAGTACAGGAAGAAAAATGTTTAGCATATTGATGGCTCTAACAGTTGGGGTCGTTTGCAATATCATCGCTGGGCCAGCTGTCGAACTCCTTAACGGGTGCTTTTGATGGCTCTAACGGTTGGGATTTAACGTCACGCCATTATATATGTCTTATTTCTCTAATGTTTATCTTTGCTTTCTTTCTCCTTTGATGATGCAATAACCTTTTTTAAAAATGTAGTACTTGTTACCATCTTTAATTATACGCAACTTACTATAATAACTTCGTAATAATGGATCAGCAATTCAGCATCGAATATAATTCGAACATTAATGTATTTTCATAAAACGTGCATGGGACTGCTGGAGGGAGTTTATAGGTAAATTGGATGTAACTTTTGTAAGAAACAACTTGCATTACTAATGACTTCATCTATGACAAATTTGTGAATGATTTGGCATATTCAATGATGAGTCTCATATCTCACCGTCCCAAAGTTCCGCAAGAGTCTTCTAAGGACTTATCTCATGAATCAGTGATTTGGACTACTAATTTAAAAGCCTAGTTGCGAAAATTTTACTTAGCCCGGAATGGCCACTGATTAGTGCGGTTAAGTGGCTACGGGGTTACGGACTCGACGAGCTGGTTTAGTGACTCAACATTATCTTTTGATGTCTTCAAATTTTTACCATTTTGTGTTTAATTAGACCATTTCCACAATTCCGGTTTTCCTTTTTTGTCAGTTAGCTGCCACTTGATCATATTTTTGGTCCACATCTCGAAGACGACTCTTCTTACTCTCTTTAAGTACGTACGTGTGGCCTAATAACTTGCTCTTACAATTTGCCTATAACTTCTCCCTCACCTCCAAGTAACTTTTACTAATTTTGTCATTTACCATTTGATGTTTGGATCTTTCCATCGTTTTCATTGTCTTTATTTCAGTGACTTCCAACTTTCATTTTTTGGTCCCCATGTCAAAATAGTCTTCTTACGTACGCTCTCTTGCACTCGTACATATAGCCTAATAAAAATTGAGGTGTTCGAAATGAAATCCAGTAATCCAAAGATGAGCAGACTTCTTGACAAATCTTTCCGCAAATCTACTTTAGATAAAACATGGGGACGAAAGCTCATAAATCCAAGTGACCGCAACAGTGACGAGTGATTTATTTGTTGTTTCTTGTGCTAATCGCCATAGATTAGCTATGAATAAAGTGGTGGCCACAAAGATTAAACAAGTTTTTAATCCGTTTTGATCACTATTCAATAATTAATAACTATTGTCAATAACACAAGAATGTTTGGAATGTTATGCTTCTTTAAATACCACTACCCATTCTCGCAAATCTAACCATTACCAAAGAAAACAAAAAGACAACGAGATGAAGCCAGAGTCAAAAGAAGTCCAACATATCCATCCCTTAACGGTGGTCACCGTTGGCGACTTCATATGCAATGGCTGCAACACCGAGGGCTATGGGAAGACCTACTGCTGCGCTGATTGCGACTACCATCTTCACGAATACTGTGCCACGTGTCCCACTACCCTCCTCAGCTTTATGCATCCACAACAAGAGCTCGGGCTAGTCTTTGAAGGACCAGAGCGTTTATGCAACATCTGCGATGAATTAGCCGAGGGGCTCTATTACCGTTGTATAGCTTGTGATTTCGATGTCCATCCACTCTGCACACGGCTGCCTCACCCGGCTCATCCCATAGAGCTGAGTCACTCGGAAGCAAACAGCACCTGCATGGTTTGCCATGGTGCAGTCCAGTCTTGGAGGTACAAGTGTGGTCCATGCGGGTTAGATGTTCACATGGAGTGTGTTAATTCTTCTGCATCAGCTGCGACGGGCACTCATAATAATCCTAAACATGGATGCGGATGTGAACACAATGACAGAGATACAAATCAAGGTCAGGATCAAGTACCGCCTCCATATCACGTTAAGAGAAGAAGAATGCTTCGCATCTTGAAGTTCATAACGGTTGAGGTTATCCGCAATATCATGGCTCCTTAGCAAGCTACCGAAGCCATTAGGGGTTCATTTTAAAATGGCAACTCTCTAACGTTATGTTTTGTATCTCCATTGTTCTGTTACTTTCTTCTATTGCGTGATGGTCACCATCTTCAATTGTACGCAACATACTAAAATGATTTGCAAATTTGTAATATAGTTTCTGCATCGAATATAATTGGGGTAGCAATCTATCTTCTGAAGAAAATATTGAAAACGTAGAAAAACCAATTGTTGAACCTCTCCCTAAGAAACTAGTAGCAGTACTAAAAATTGATCTATGACAAATCGGTGAATGATTTCGCACATACAGATCAAATCAGCTGCGTCTCATATCTCACCGTCCCAGAGTTCTTCAAGAGTCTTATAAGGACTCGTCTCATGAACAAATGACATGCCTCGCACCAACCTACCCTGCAACATTGAAACACACGTCTTCAATATTCGATAACCCAAGTGTGTGAGCAAAACAAAGAACGCTCTTTTGACTTATTTGGACTACAATGTGTGGAAAATCACTTGCCTGTTCAATCTCAGAAAACTTGGATAACATGTCATCGGGTATGGGCCAATTGAAAACATCAAAATTCTGTTTGATCCTGTCTTCATGTGTGCTTTTTGGAAGAACACTTTGACCCATTTGGAGACCCCAGCGTAGTGCAACTTGTGCAGGAGTCTTGCCGAGCTTCTCAGCAACACCACCAAGAATAGGGTTCTTCAAAACATCGCTCGTTAGCCACGTTGTTCCTGGAGAACCCAAAGGAGAGTACCCCTACAAAAACATCAACTAATGTTTAATTTCCGAGATCTTTTGTTAGTTTTTTCATAAAAGGATATAGACATGTTTGTTCTACATACTGAGAGGTGAACGCCTTTAGATTTGCAGAAATCCCTGAGCACGTTTTGTTGCCATGAAGGGTGACACTCCACTTGGTTAACAGCGGGAGGGACGCGAGCCACCTCCAAGAGATCTGCGAGTTTCTTTGAGGAGAAATTGCTGACACCAATAGCTCTGGCCTTGCCCGCATCAAACAGTGCTTCCATTGCTTTCCATGTGCTAGGAATATCAGTTGGCAAAATGTTCTCTGGTTTAAAGCCAGTAGAACCTTTCTTGAGGCTAACAGGCCAGTGAATCTTCAAAAGGATCACACAACTGTTAGTCAGTCGAAATGGTTCCGCAAATCGGTGTAAGAAGTCAAGTAAAAAGAATTCAAATGTTTGAAAAATATATCACACAAGCCTTAACACTTTTCAAAATTGCAGTGATAAATATTGGTAGATAAAACCACATCTATAAGTCCGACTAACGTAAAGTACCAAATGGATTGCTGCAAGTTATGTTGAAGAGAAAAGCACATAGACAAACAAAACAAGGTTTTCTAATATATTACTTACGAGATACAGATCGACGTAGTCAAGCTGCAGATCCTGTAAAGTTCTATTAAGTGCCTCAGGCACTTCTTGAGAATCATGATAAGTACACCTTTCATATGAGAAGGTAAATAGGTTAAAAGCTACATAGAATTGACAAATGATTACAAAAAATCTATAAGGAAATTAAAGCACAGTGGTGCAGAATACCAGAGTTTGGATGTGATGAACATTTCCTCACGCTTAACAACTCCATCATCAAACAATTTCTTCAGGACTAACCCAATCTGCACGAGGAAGAAGACATGTAGTTTCTTTTCAGTCACTAAATCATTCACATTGTTGGGTAATCACAAGCATAAATAGAGAGCGGTGAGCCTCTAATTGCTAAATTCAAAACAACAGGAATCATATCAACAGGATAACAGTCTTAAGCAATAAGCAACCACATTGTGATACACAACACAACGCATAAGCAAGCAAGAACCTAACTTTTTGCTTCAAGTCCCAATAAAAATCAAGTAGCATGACAAAAGTATCAAACTTGAACTAAAGAACGACACTTTCCTTGAACCAATTCAACTTAACCTACAACTTTTAAAAACTTATACAGAGACAAGGAACCACAATCTCAAAAGATGAGTTTTTTTGTTTTACCTCTTTTTCATTGCCATAGATTTGAGCACAATCAATATGGCGATAACCAATCTGCATAAGTAGTAGAATCAATTTAGCTATACGATCACTAACAAGTCACAATAAATCGCAAATCAAAAGACGAACCTTCACAGCAGCGTCAACAGCGTTTCCGACGAGACCAGGATCGGCCTGCCACGTTCCGAGACCAACGGATGGTATCTTCGCTCCGGTGTTGAGCTCAAAGAATCTAATTTCCTCTGCCATTATCAAAGCTACGAGATTTATCACCTGAAACCACCACTGAGAGTCTCAGACTGATCCTCTGTTTTTAGCCGACACTGAGACTTCACTGAGTTTAACGTGAGTTTGTAATAATGGACTTTGGTTAAGCCCCATATTTGGGCCTTATATGGGCTTTCATAAAATTTACGGTAACACATTCATAAAATTGCATTTATATTTCATTAAAAATTTAATAAACACTATATCGTATTATCGTAATACTAGTTGAAAACTTGAAGACACGTCCGTATTGAAAAACCAGTTATGTAGAGCATATCAACTTTAAATTCATGTATAATATCAACAATTTGTAACAGAAAATTTATATAACAAGTGACATATTCTTCCCTATGATCATTCAACTCCACCAAAGTCAACTAAAATAATAACTATTTGTATCAAGTTTATTGCATATTTTGGATACAGTTCCTTTGATAAGAGCACCCAATATCAAAAAAACCTTTTGGCTTCCCCACAAACCAACCTCAAAGATGTCAATACCGCACACGATTCAACATTTCACGCATAACCATCCCTTAACCCAAGTCAACGGTATTGGCACATACACTTGCGATGGTTGCAAATTCTACGGTGAAGGCAGGACCTACCGGTGCAGCGACTGTGACTATGATCTCCATGAATATTGCGCCACGTGTCCTTCAATCCTCTTAAACTCATGTCACGGTCCTGATCATGAGCTTAGCCTGTTCAACGGTCACATGACCGAACGCTCGTGCTATGTTTGCCTAGTTTCTATCCAAGGGATGTTCTACAAATGCAGGCAATGCAGTTTTGAATCTCACCCGCTTTGCACATACGTTCCAATGCATCATGCCTCATCTCCGGATGTATCGGCTACGAAGCAGAGAAGCCTGCATGGACATGCGGGACAGCCATCGCCACCACACCAGTATGAACAAGGAATCCCATATGGCTATCCACATATGGGTCACCCTGAGCCATACCCTCCTCAAGGTGGTGGTTATCAACATCAACATCAGAATCAGTATCATCATCCATACATGAATCCGGGTTCTCAAAAAACAGAGTCCATGGGTCAGCCTGAGCCATACCCTCCTCAAGGTGGTGGTCATCAACATCAACATCAGAATCAGAATCATCAGCCTGGGCCATACCCTCCTCAAGGTGATGGTCATCAACATCAACATCAACAACAGAATCATCATCCATACATGAATTCGGGTTCTCCAAAAGCGGAGTCCAGTCCAAGTTCAAGCACGACTAAAGCGAAAAAGAAAAAACCGGGATTCTTTAACACCATGATGGCTGCAGCAACTACAACTCTTACGATAGCAGCCCAGGTGGCCGTTGCAACAATGACTGATGGCGAGATGACGAATGAATAATAATTTCTTTGTGATGGATTTTTTACTTGTTGATGGCTTATGGTGTGTTTTGATTTTATTTTTGATGTTGTTTTACGGTACATGCATACATGATCTGTTATGTTCTCATTCTCATATACATAATCGCATAACTTCAGATTAATTGCTCAGTCCTTGATGTATATGTTGGTTTAACCCACCAAAAATGTTGATAAATTGATATGTTTTTAATCTGATCATCGTTCCATCTCAAATCGGTTAGATAAAGAGAAGAAAGAATCATTCTGAATGATCATAGATCCTTATAAATTTTGAAAATGCCTTATTTTGTTTCGATGTGAGATTGAAGAATATGTCGTCTCATAGTTACAAGTTATATACCAACAAATTCAGGAATATTTCACCAAAGAAAAACTTATTGACACATTCATTTTTTTGATTTGAGATGACTATATAAATCTATAATACATTGCAAATGTATAAATAGATCCTTTCAGTTTTTTTTTTGTTTTTTTTAAAAGTGATTGTAAATAAATATATCAGTGACATGTCTTTTTCTGTAACATCCATAAGAAACTGACAAGTTCATCAGAGAGAAAAACCTCCCATTATTTGACAAAACAAATAGATCAGCTAAAAATCATATCTCGCCATCCCATAATTCTTCAATAGACTTATAAGGGCTCAGTGTCTCATGAACAAAGAACGAACCATTCACTAACCTAGCCTGCATTTAATCCAAATAAATAACTATCAATGCGCGATCAAGCCGAGGAAGAGCAGAGCGACTTGGTTTATGCAATGAAATGTTAAGAACATACCTGTTCAATCTCAGAAAACTTAGCGAACATGTCATCGGGTATTGACCAGTCAAAAACATTAAAGTTCTCTTTGATTCTTCCTTCATTGGTACTCTTGGGAAGGACACTGTGACCCATTTGGAGTCCCCAACGAAGGGCAACTTGCGCAGGACTCTTTCCGAGTTTTTCCGCAACCATATTCAGTATGGGGTTCTTCAGAACATCGCTCTTCAGCCACGTTGTCCCTGGAGAACCCAACGGCGAGTATGCCTGGATAAAACATTCATTCAATGAATGTAAAAGTAGAAAGTAAATGGAATGGTGAGATGGTAATGGCTTACACTTAGGTGAACCCCTTTGGATTTGCAGAACTCTCGTAGCTTAGTTTGTCGCCAAGAAGGATGACATTCGACCTGATTAACCGCAGGAGGAACACGAGCTAACTCCACGAGATTAGCTAGTTTCTTGGTGGAGAAATTGCTTACACCTATGGCTCGTGCCTTGCCCGAATCGTAGAGTGTTTCCATCGCTTTCCATGTACTAGGAATATCTACAGGCAAAATGTTCTCTGGCTTAATTCCAACAGAACCTTTCTTCATCCGTGCAGGCCAGTGCATCTTCAACAAGATCGCAAACCAAACCGTTACACAATAATCTTTCCCCATAAGAAGTAATGTTACAAGGAGGTGATGTTTACCAGATAAAGATCGACATAGTCAAGCTGCAGATCCTGTAGAGTTCTGTTCAATGCCTCTGGTACATCTTGAGGGTCATGATCAGTACACCTTTGATGATACACAATTTGAGAATGCAAGAATAATAAAAGCTACACTTATTCACAGAACATGAATTGATTAGGTAAAGAAACAAGATACCAGAGTTTGGAGGTGATGAACAAGTCCTCGCGTTTTACTACTCTGTCTTCAAACAGTTTTTTCAGAACCGCCCCAATCTGAGCATGAGAAGGAGTTTTCAGTATCTTACAACAAAACAGAACAGAGGAAAGTAACAAGATTCAAGAGATTGAGAATGTAACAAATAATGCAGATCATTTAATATTCAGGGTACGTGTAAGATCAATTCAAGATCCACAAAAAACTCATACCAAAAAGATAGAATTTTCAGCTTAGATAATTTAAACATCTGTGTGTTTTTTACCTCTTTTTCGTTGCCATAGATCTGAGCGCAATCAATATGACGATAGCCAATCTGCAATTAGGATTAACATTAAACTAATTGAAGCATAACAAAAAAAAGGTCCAATTGAAACAGAGTATGGAATCATCAAACCAAAGAATCTAAAAGAGATCAGAGGGCAAATAAGATTTAAATTACGAAAGACGAACCTTAATAGCGGCGGCGACTGCATCGCCAACAAGGCCAGGAGAGGCTTGCCATGTTCCAAGACCAACCGACGGGAACTTAGCGCCGGTGTTGAGCTCGAAGAATGTGATCGCATTTGCCATTATATGATGTGGTGGTGGTTGTTCAACGCAGACTGCACTAGCTATTAAAGCGTGAGAAGAAGTGAGAGCGACAGAGGCGGGAGATTCGTGGCCAAATTGATTTTTTCTTAGTTAGTATTGCCACGTCAGATATTAATCATTACAAGGACCAATGGACGGTGGACGTATCTTAATTCGTTCCTCTTTGCTAATCTCGAATGTGACTGACACTTTTTTTGTGTCCTCATCACGTATCAGCACTCTCAAACAACCAACAAGACAATTTGTACATGATTTTTTTACCCTTTTTTTTTGGAATTTATAATTCATTTCATATTATGAAAAAAGTTTTATATGTTTCATAATAATGTAGAAATATTAGAATATTACACATTGTGATTTGTTTTTCAAAAGCATTTGTGATAAGAAACAATTACGTGGTTTTACGACACAAAAAGAAATTGTAGTATCAAGATCCTTGGATTCAGTAAGCAGATTAAAAAAAAAAAGAAGCAATCCCCTAGGTTTGAAATATCAAAATTCAAAATTTATACATGTTTCAAAGGTTTGGGATTCTAGATTTCATATCATACATGATCTTTTTTTGTGGTATGTAGAAAACTCTCAACGCGAATTAAGGATAGAAAACTCTCAACACGAACTAAGGATATAATCTTAGGTTCGACTAACTCTGTTATGTTGAATTTGTAACGTAACTAGTTGAAAACATTTTATTGCTTGAAGACTGAAGAGTAACAACATTTGCCAAACCTCATGTGTTTAGTGTTTTCTCATGGGAGGATTATATAAAAACATAACATATTTATTTCCATGTCCTTAATGGTTAAACAAGTAGAAAGGAGGGACATTATCTCAAATTTCACCGTCCCACAACTCCTCAATGGTCTTATAGAAGCCGTGTGTCTCATGCGCAAACTCAGCAGCTCGGCATAACTTCTCCTGCAAGATTTATAGGGGTTGGTAAAAACCATGATTTAACGATCTATAATCAACATGATGGGGTCGAGGAAAACAAGATGAATAGAACTTGCCTGGGGAATGTTAGAGAACTTGACAAACAGATCTTCAGGTATAGACCAGTCAAAAACATCAAGATTCTCCTTGAGCCGAGCCTCGCTCGAGCTCTTTGGTAGAACACTATGACCAGTTTGGAGTCCCCAACGGAGAGCCACTTGAGCAGTGGTCTTTCCAAGTTTCTCAGCAACCTCGGCAACAATCGGGTTTTGAAGAACCTTTAGCCTGACTTCTCCCTTACTTTGGGAACCCAAAGGAGAGTAACCCTATCATCAATCCAAAAAAATTAATGGCATCTTCGTTAATTCATACTTGCACAAACATAGTAAATTCAGAATGTGTATGTATACTCACGGATAAGTGAACTCCTTTGGATTTGCATAGCTCATGAAGACCTTGTTGCTGCCAAACTGGGTGACATTCAACTTGGTTAACTGCCGGGGCTACACGTGCCACGTTAAGAAGATCTATGAGCTTCTTCGACGAGAAATTGCTTACACCGATTGCCCGAGCTTTTCCAGAGTCATAGAGAGCTTCCATTGCTTTCCATGTACTAGGTATGTCAGGTTTAGTGAGCATCTCAGGAGTTGGCATAAGTGATTCCTTCTTCAAGCTCGCAGGCCAATGTATCTTCAACAAAAGCAAAAACACATCAAAATGGAAAAAATTACACGTAAACAAGATTCATTTGCTAAGTTATGTACCAGATATAAATCAACATAGTCAATCTGTAAGTCCTGTAATGTTTTATCCAATGCCTTAGGCACATCTTCAGGTAAATGATCATTGCTCCTACACAACAAAAAAAAACATGAACATGTGTGTGTGCAGAACAGAGAGAAACTTGGTTAGAACAAGAACACAAACCAGAGTTTGGAAGTGATAAATAACTCCTCACGCTTCACGAAACCATCACCTATCAGCTTCTTCAACACACCACCAATCTAATAGATGGGAATAGGTAGAAAAGCAGAACACATTTTAGTCCCACAAAGTAAACATTCATATTACTATTTCTTTAGAAGCAAAGAGGCTACACTTAATGTGAGATTATTGTTCCACCATGCATGACCCTCAGAAACTATAACTTACACTCTTTTAGTAAAAAATTTGATGACCAGTCAAATTTTAAGGGAATAAAAAATAATGTTCCATCACCAAATGACATCTATGGTTAAAGGGAGAAATTAAAAAATCTCGTAGATAGCAAATTTTACCTCTTTCTCGTTACCGTAAATCGAAGCACAGTCGATATGCCTGTAACCAATCTAAAAGATCGACAAGAGAAGTATCAAAGTGAAATGTTATAATCAATCACATAATAATAAGAATAAAATTTGATCCGAAGGTAATAATAGTACCTTAATTGCATGTTCGATCGTTGTGGCGACCATGGCGTAGGTTCCTAGACCGATGCAAGGTAACTTGGCACCAGTGTTCAGCTCAAAGAATCGGATCGGAGCTACCATCTTTTTAAAAAGTTCTGGATAATTCTATTGAAAGAAGAAATATGAGAGAAGGTGATGAATATGAAAAAAAAAACTAGATGTAGAAGAAAAGAAAACTACGCAACTCAGAGAAATAGTACTTTGTTTCTTCCGCAAAAAATGCTAAAAACATATGGCCGATGCGAAATGACACGTTTCATTAAATCACTAAAGGCGTTTTCTTTATAGTCAAATAGTGCGTTTTTATTTTCTTTTGCATGTGAAAACATAACATAATTATGGCATTTATTTTAGAAGATATGTAACTGTCAAACTCCTATATAAACAGAAATTGATTGTGCAATGTTTTTAATATTATTTATAATTAGCATGTTTTTCCGATTGTCTTATGTTGTTTTATATGATGAAAATTGCGTGAAAGAAAATTTACGAAGTTGGCAAAAAAGAATAATATCCATTTACTTACAATTGTGCAATTATATCATTTTTGCATATAAATGCCAAGACTAGGCAATTATATTGTAGTCTAATTAACCCTTTTTAGTTTTTACAACTTCATATACCATGAAACATACGCTAAAAAAGTGGATTAATCTTTTCTTATCGCAATTGTATAACCTATGACCTATTTGTTAACGTATTAAGGATATTATCCTATTATTTTAGATATTTACTAAATCTTGTATTTCCTCTATTGGTAATTATATTTTCCCTTTAGAAATTGTATTAGGGTTTAGTAACATAGCAATACAAGTTGAAATATTCTTCTATACTCAGATTTTACACAAAGGCAATCTTTTTTTTTGGTGCCCAAATCATTTACTCCACGTCCTACGAATACGATATTAATTTATTAACAATGAAAACAATTAACAATCATTTCACATAATTGTTCACGAGTAAACTAAATATGTATAGAAATTTTATACAATTAACAGAAACACACAAATCAAATGCACGAGACTACCCTTTTGGGTGAAAGCCTACGCTTAGAGAAATCAATCTCTCAAACCGAATTATTACATCAGGTTTATTAAACCGGTCCAAGCCTAACGCATAAAAAAAAAAAAAAAACACAAAACAAAAGTCACGAACCCTTCCCTCACACGCATCTTCAGGTTCCTTGTGAAGCGCGTGTGAATCACGTGAAAACCTGACGAGAAACGGGTGATTGGACTCCCGTGTAAACAGCAAACGTAGTAGTGGTCGTCGACGACAACGCCCTATTGGAAGAATTAGATCCAGGACCCGATACATCTAAATCGGATCTTCCAAACCGACCTGACTCTCCCGGAAGACGAACGTAGTAAGAAGAAGAAAGTTGCTCCGACTCGTTACCGTAACGGATTTGCATGACGGCTTTGTATACTAACGGAATTAGACCCTCCATTTCTCTTGTTATTAGTATTATTTTGCTATAGCGACCAAAGAAACAGAGCAGGTTTGGTTTTATAGAGCGATCAAGATTGTCACGTGGCGCCTCATGATTTGTTGCTGCATCCATAAGTTTTCCCACGTCATTAGTTAGTGTATTTAAATATTAAATGAGTTTGAATGTTAAAAAGATAAGCAACCTTTGAATGTGAAATTTGGGTATAGGAAGAATCTGAAAGCTACACTCAAACTAATATAAAAACCACGGCTGGTCCAATGGGTTTATCTTCAACAAAACTATTACACATATTTAATATATAAAGTTATGAAATTAAGTTTATCCACATCCAATTTTTGATTATGGTATGCAGCTGGACTGCAATTCTTCAATCTAAAATCACTTACTAATTACTATATTTTTTGAGACCGAATTATGAAATTTTCAGTTATGTAGACTTTTTCAAATGTTGTTAATAAAGTATACTATCGTAGATGTTTAATTGATTTTACGAAACAAAAATGTGATATAAATCTTTGAATAATGGGAAGTATATCATAGTAGATTTATAAAAGTGGAGGATGTGTTTGGATTATTATAGAAAAGAACGTATGATGTCAAAAGATTTGTTAAATGATGACGTTTGACTGTTTGAGGCGTAAATAAAATAAGAGAGGGTTACGGAATTGTGCCCACTAAACTATTTTGGTATAGTCAAAATATTAAAAAGCTATTAGCTATTGAGGAATTTATTAATCCGTTGGTATTGAAGAAGCCAATTGAGTATGATTGACTAGTGTTTTGATTTAATGTTTATCTTCATCTGCTTGTATGATGACTGTGATTATATATATCCTATAATTCTTTATTTGATTGAACTTGACTTTAAGGTTAACAGTAAAATTGAAAAATAAAAGACCTTTTTTTTTTATATTCTTGTATTACTAAAACATTTTCTCCTAAAATTTAATAGATAGAAACTAGAACATGTGTGATTATCTCAATGTTAATTACAAATGAAGATTAAATGCCGATAACAAGAAACATCATGCATGTCAATAAATCCAAGTTTCTAGTATATTCTTACGAGTTAATGGTGTTGTATTTTCTCAAAAATTATTTATAATGAGTTTATCACTTTGTTGTGAAGATACGAAGACAAAAGGTTCGACAAGAAAATATTGAACTTCTTGTTTGCTTGTTCATTGAGAGTTAAGTCATTCTGTTCTCAAGGCAATAATCTCCTTATAGAACTAGGTTTTTAGTGGATAACTAAACTCTATACTGTGTTCATATGGGCCTTGACTGGTTAAAAAGCCCATAAGCTCGCTTGGTCGTGTTGTTCTCATCTTTACCGATACAACAGAAAAACAAAGCAAAAATATTTTTTTCCTACAAAGTAGAAATTCCTCTTTCTTTTTTTCTCTATATATTTTCCATTGAGTTCGATTATGACCTAGTTTGCAGTATTTATCAGCATGAGTTTTACCATTTGTTGTAATTCATTAAATAATTATATGTTACAAATTTACAACGAAGATAGACATAAATTACGGTGTTGTTTTTTGTTCTAAAAAGCATTTTACTTACAAAAATGAAATTTGATGTAACGAATATGGCGCTAAGCCTAGAGCTCACTAAATTTGATATTTTGATAGGACATGTTAGGACATTCCTGTTGAATAATGACACAAACGATTAATGAGAATTTATATGGTCATCAATTTAAAATTTAAAAACCATAAGACTTTTCAGTCCCTATGAATTCTCTTGTTTTGCATGTTCTAAAGTTAATAATATATCCATAATCACAAAAGTTATGGACGAAATGCCATCATATAAAGTGTTTTGGTTAAATGAAACAATTTAGTTTAATAATAAACTACTATTATATTACATTTAATAAAAATATCTAATAAACCAAATTCTTGAAATGATATTTCATTTAACAAAAAAAAAATATCTAATCCATTTTACCGTGAGGATTTACACTGGTTTAAAATATATATTTAAAAAAAAAAACATATATACGTACTACATTACAAGTACTATATAAATTACTGTAGATTCAAAAGAATAATATTATACAAAGTTTCAAAAAATAATATACGTTTACTTGCGGGTAGCCACTTGGAACAAGCAAACATAAAAGATTTTAGATCAGTCAGCTAACTTTTACTAAAATCCAAAGTTCGTATCATATTTTTTCTTCATAAAATCCCTACGGTCCAATTAATTAATTTAATAAACTATAACCCCTTTGATCGTTAAAAAACCTCCACTCGTTTTGCTTTTAATTTCTTTTTATAACATCTTGACCTCCCTTATTTTCATTACACCATTCTTGATCTTTTCCGTAATCCACCACCTAATATTAATCATCTAGGGTTCCTCTAACCACCCAAGAAAAAAGGAAGAAAAAGTTTATTCTAGGGTTTGTCGTCAGCTTCTAAATTGTTCATCTACAATGGAGAAACCTGGTGGCTTCTGGATCCCGAAGACAAGCAACAAAGAGTCATCGTGGGAAGAGCTGGCCTTTGCGGAAGACGATGCAGCTGGATCTTTGTGGCCGCCAAGATCTTACACGTGTAGCTTTTGCCGGAGAGAGTTTAAATCGGCTCAAGCCCTCGGTGGCCACATGAACGTTCACCGAAGAGACAGAGCACGGCTTAAGCAAGCCGACGACCAATACTTATTCCCCAAATATCCTTCGTCTCCGGAGTATCCATCTCATAAAGACAGCGATAATATTCATGAGACCTCTAGCTATACTTTGGTTTTTAACTCCAAACCTAATTATTTTAAGACTCAACACTCTTGTGTTATTGATCTTTCTTCTTCTTCTTCTTCTTTACCATATTTGACTCCTTCTAGGGTTTCTTCTGGTTCACATGGAAAGCAAAATACTTCTTCTTCTTCCCCTCCTTCTTTCGTTGTAGAACCTTCCAAGAACTCTAAAAAGATTCCCTCTTCTTCCCCATGGTCGTTCCCGAGTACTTTTGTGGAGCAAAAGCGTTGTGATCTATATGAAATTCCGGCTATGGAAGGAGAAAAGAAGAGAAAGACTGAGAGTGATGTGCCGAAAATCGGGCATAAAGCAAAAATTAGTCTTGGAAACACCACTGATCTCTCGGTGAGTATGAATCTGGTCATCCACCAAAGTTTTCCGATTACTGCTCACGGTAGCGATGAAGAGATCGGTAGGGGTGATATCCGTAAGAGAAGACGAAGACATGAGAGTCCGTCGCAGCAGTCAGTTTTCATTTCAAGTTTATCTTGTAAGAGTGGCATAATTACAAGAAACGAGGAGAGCAAACACAAGGGTGATCGCCTTGAGGATTTAGATCTTGAGCTTAGGCTAGGGACCGATCCACCAAAGGGAAATTGATTGATGGACCGATGAATCTCTACCAAAACAAAGGTAAGGGGAAATATATATAAAAATAGAAATATTTCATACGGTGAGCCAAAAAAAAAAAAACACATTTCATGTGGGTGTATGTATGTGTATGTGTATGTGTGTTACTTGGATTTATGTTTCCTTAGTTTTGTGTGTCTAAAATGTACTGATATATACAGATTTTTGGGTTTTATTCCTGTTGTTTTTTGGGGATAAATTGTAAAAAAAAAAACACTTGAAAATTTGAAAAATCTAAAGGAAGTATCGAGTAGTATGTGTATGTAAAACTTGAGGCTTGAGAAGTTTTCGATATGATTAACCTTGGATACGCAAATGAGCATATGAACTCTGTAATATAATATATAGTAGTATTTGAAATGATGATAATTAATATGTACAGAAAAATACTGTGTATGCATGTATTTTTAAGTATTACAATATATTAGGATATATAAACAAGAGCAAAGTAATATCACTAAATCCCAGCTTCACTAGCTACTAGCTAGGCGATCGTTTAAATGCGCTTTAAAATCTCAGCTTTGAATCTTACTACTGGAATAATGATGACTAACTAAGATGTTATGGTGTCCATATAAAAAATTACGGGTCTTAACTCTTAAGTCGGAAACCTCTTGGTTAAAAAAAAGAAAAAAAAGTATCGACTACGTCTATACTTCCTTGCGTGATTTGAAGCATGTTGTGTAAGGCCACAATCCAAAATAAAATCACATGAAGAAGGAATATTTTCTCACAATTTCCGAGAATGAGAGAGAGAGAATGATGAATAATTGTCCCATAGATCTTTGGTAAATATATTTGCATTATTCTGATAAGAAAATAATTCTTCTGATAAATTCCAATACTAATTCATTCATATTGAACTAATTCAGACACACACAGATATGTTATACCTTAGACATGTTCTAGTCTCCAATACATAAATAAGATTCTTATACTAAAACATATATAGAGGAAAAAATACAAAATTTCACGAAAGCCAAAAACACGAATTATATTTAACGTTGATATTCATTCCCAAAAAAATGACGAGCTTAATTAAGTTTTTAAATAAAACATGTTTCTTAATTACTTGCATCAATGAAGGATAAGGTAGAGAAAGTCAGAAGCAACTAATTACTGTTCTTTTTCCTATCATATATAATTGCAGGAAATCTGGCAAATATGTAAGTTTGTATACTGAAAAAAATTAAGAGTTTTTATTTTTGTTAAACAATAAGGAAATAGTTTAATATTTATTAATTCCTCGTTGTGAAACGTCGTTATAAGCTCGTTTCCACATACATTCGCATCTCAGTACGTAACATGCCATTCTGTCAAAATCATAAAAATAAGCATAAGAAAGAGCACAAAAATCCAAATATGTCACAACACATATTCCCTTTCGATTGTTTTGTCTCAATAGATTATTGAGTAAATGAAATTATATAGTACTACTCAACCCATTTAGAGTCTCTACCCTAACTTTTTTAGCCCCATGGGTCACCAACTCTTCTATCGCTTAGACTTAAAACTATTTCATAAAATTTCAAATCGTATCTGTAAACTAGCTAGGTTTGCACTATTTCTATCAACCACCCATAAGTAACGCATTGGAAGACTCTGTTTATACTCAATTATTACATTAATTAAGATCCTACAAACCATAGCATCTTTCACTCTTTCTATCTACCATCCGGTTTCCATTGATATATACAACCAAATTTTTTTGTGTCAATACAATAGGTAAAAGTTTTTACATAATTGGAAAAGTATCCACGGGCGGGTATATATGATATATGTATCTACTTGTCTAAAGAGTTTTGGAACTAATCTATTAATCAGGTTTTATTAGAAGTCTAAAAGTAAAAAATAAGAGTGTCTTACATGGTTTGATTTGATTTTACAATGTTGGCCATCCACTAGCTACTTCGCATTTTCTACTGGGATATGAGGTAAGATATGTATATGAATATCTTAATTTTGTAATTAATTCTCTTATTTAAGCTTATTCGGCCATATATATATGTACATGGACACTATTAGATTTACGGGTATAAATATATATATGTTGTATGAGATTCTAAGAAATGATACGGTGAAATAACACAAACTCTCTTCTTTGTGTGTAAGTTGGATTTTGAAATGAATTCAAAGCCTTAATTCAAACATATAATTTCTCTTGAATGTTTTTCGATTCGTTCATGAACCCATTGGCATAAACTTCAAAGCTATCAACTAATTCTTGGTTTACCTAGGGTTTGGGTATTAGTTAGATACGCTCTTTAGATTTCTATAAATATAATGAAGTGGTCTTCTCTGTGTATAACAATACATAGGTGGAAGTGAAGTCTTCGAATAGGGGCAGAGCTTCCACATGGGGAATGAATCTCATTCTCTGTAACTCACATATTTCAATAGTTAAATTAATATTCAAATATGATGCTAATAATCAAATATATACAATACGTGAAGGGAATTTTTGCTTGGATTCTACGAATTAAGTGTCACGGAATTTTGGACGATTCTTAAATAATAATATAATGTATCATTGATGTATCCTGATCTGATTTACCCAAGTTGTACGTGTTCTTAATTCGAGTCGGTTTTGGGCTTTCATGAGTGCATTCAGACATCCCTGTAATTGTTGAGGGCAATATTTATAAAATGGTATTTAAATTTTTTTTTTTAAACAAGTTAAAAATCGTCGTTTTCAACATAATCGAAATCAATGTTGTTCCCATTAAAACATATAAAAAGCGAGATCAGACAAATGGGCAGTTAAGAATAATGTTAATTTGATTAACATTTGTATTTTCTTATATAACTAAATAAAATCAGATGATTTGAGATTCACATAGTTAAAGACAAACCTTATATTCTTATTTTATATTCTCAATTTTGTATTTGGTTGGGATTCAATTCATAGTTCAAAATCATATATATTTTTAACTTTAGTTTGTATATTTATGAAAAGAAATTGCAGCAAGACTAGTTGTTATAGCAAGTCTAGTCGCCATATGTCTGTTTGAAACTAACAAGTAGACTTCGATTAATAACTGAAATATAATACACACAAGTACACTTGTACATATGTAAGCGAAAGTTCTACAGAGGATACTGACAACAAGAAAAGACCAAAAATTCTTGGTTGGTCCGCTTTACCAATCTGGTTTCTTTTATTTTATTCTCAGTTATAAAGAACAGTTGTCCACGAGTGAGATTATGTAAGTATATATAACATATATATATTACAAGTCTAGCTCATTCTGATTCATCAATATTATATACAACTCTCATGTTGGAGTTTCACTAATTAATTGACTTAACTAAGTTGTTTCTTGAATTAAGTACTTTAAAAGCTATTGCGTGAAGACAACAATTACAGTGTAGTTTACGTACTCATATTTCCAAGAGTTTCAACAATCTTCAAACGTCGTTATTGTCTAGTTCTACAAAAAAAAATTTTTTGAGTTTTAAGATTTTCTTACCTGGTAAAGGTTGGTAAAACAATTAGATCATCAATGTCTCCGAAACATGTGTTTCATGCAATATCTTTAGCTAAAAAGTCCAATTCATATTTTTTTTGTAAAGTTAACGTACAAATCTTATTCACACATTTTTTTTTTTGGGTGCGAATTTCACATTACAAAAAATATGAATTCAATTTAATGCCTAGAATAAGATTTGTAATAACAAAACTATTGGGTTACTCTTGCCTCCCTTTTTAGTTTAAATCCGGAAAAAAAATACTTAACCATGCTTGGCCCAATAAGTAATAACGTAGATGTGTTCCATCAGTTTTTTGGTGGTCAACAAATACAAAGGTCCATTACTCTAGTCATACTGTATCTGACTATATTCATCCCATATGCTTAAAACCATTCATACATTTTAGAAGCTAGATCTTTCGAATTCAAAAAAAACATATTTTTCATCTTAATTAAAAGATTTGTTTTCTCGAAACCATATAATTCATTAACGAAAATAAAGGAGTAGGAATATTCGTCGAATATAGACTTTCTCAATTTGAATCGCAATAAATAAATGTAAATTTTAGCTGCAAAAAGTAAAAATAAATAAATGTAAAGTTTTAATTTTATTTCCACTCAACCCTATTCGTACACTCGTAATATACATTTGTACAAAATAAATTCCCATAAACATCAAAAAAAAAAAATGGCCATCTTCGATCCGTTTAAGCTCCGCCATAAACCGCCGTCGATTTTTCCGGCAACGACTGTAAAACCAAGCCATGTTCTTTCCCTCGTCGCCAAGTTATTCTTCACCATATGCATCTTCATATTTTTTGCTATGATCTTCTTCTACATAATCTTCTCCGGTTGCTCCGATTGCCACCACATCACCGGTTACCGTCGCTTAGGCCCTGACAATGTAAACTCCACTACCAACTCTTCAGCCTCCTCCTTAAACATCCTCCGACAGAATCAGTCCTCGGAGGCCACCGATATCTCCCACATAGTTTTCGGGATTGGTGGCTCAATTCAAACTTGGAGAGATCGCAGTCGCTACTCCGACCTCTGGTGGCGTCCCAACGTCACACGCGGCTTCGTATGGCTTGACGAAGAACCGCCTCTTAATATGACTTGGCTTCCGACTTCTCCACCGTTCCAAGTCTCGGCTGATACCTCCCGGTTCAATTACACTTGCTGGTACAAACTATTTCAACTTCTATAACATAATTATTTCAACCAATTGATCTTAGTCAAGTTAGGTCAAGGATCAAATCTCACAAACATATTTTTCTCCAAAAGTTTTAAAAACCTAGTTTTCAATGTTTAACCACACATCAAATATATTGTGACAATGTATTTGGATGAATACCTAACCATACGAATCTATAATTTTATTAAATTATCCGATTTTGTTTTTTATTTTAAGGTTTGGTTCGAGATCAGCTATACGAATGGCGAGAATCATTAAAGAGACTTTCGAGCTAGGGTTAACGAACGTGAGATGGTTCGTGATGGGTGACGACGACACCGTTTTCTTTGTGGACAATCTTATAACGGTTCTAAATAAGTATGATCACAATCAAATGTATTACATCGGAGGCAATTCCGAGAGTGTGGAACAAGACATCGTTCACTCTTACGCCATGGCTTACGGTGGCGGAGGAATAGCAATTAGCTATCCATTAGCCGTCGAGCTTGTAAAGATACTCGATGGTTGTATTGATCGTTACGCATCATTATATGGATCTGATCAAAAGATTGAAGCTTGTATAAGCGAGATTGGAGTTCCCCTGACCAAGGAACTAGGGTTCCATCAGGTATATTCACATTTTCCTTTTTGTTTATCTCATTATTACTGGAAATTCACTTGTTTTGACCTAATAAATAAAATGGAAATTTCCCTTAATTAATTGGTTTCTAATTTTTAGCTACAAATATTGAATTTCCTTTAATTTGAATATTCAGTTTTAAATTTCAAATCGTTCAAAAAACTTATCCCTTGCCCAGTTTAAACATTAAATAATTACCAAAATGTCATGTTTTTAGGTTTAAGGTCCGGTTTTATATCAACGAAAACTAATCCTAAATCACGATATTATTTAATTTCCTTGCTTGAATTCAAAAAATATTTAATAGTATTCAAAATTCCTTAAATTAGATTTTCACACGGAACAGTTACTGGATGCATAATAATGACTCATTTCTTAATATGGCAATTGTCTCGGGGCATATTGGTGTAACTATATATTTAAGAGAAATTTCTATAATTTGAAACCATATATATAAGATCAAGATTTAATGATTTTTCTTTGCATGGTAAAATACAGGTTGACATACGTGGCAATCCGTACGGTTTACTAGCTGCCCATCCGGTGGCTCCTCTGGTTACGCTCCACCATCTCGACTATGTTGACCCAATATTTCCGGCGACGACCCAAATAGACGCCTTAAGAAGACTTGTATCGGCCTACAAGACGGATCCAAGCCGGATCCTCCAGCACAGCTTCTGCCATGACCCGACCCGGGACTGGTTTGTGTCCGTTTCATGGGGCTATACTATCCAAATTTATCCGTCTTTAGTCACCGCAAAGGAGCTTGAGACGCCATTTCTTACGTTCAAGTCGTGGCGGACGTCAAGCTCTGAGCCTTTCTCGTTCGATACCCGACCCATCAGCGAAGATCCGTGCGAGAGACCCATTGTTTATTTCTTGGACCGGGTTTATGAGGTAGGGTCGGGTCAGACTCTTACGAC